CCGCGCGCCACAGCTCCATCCCCTCCGGCCCCGGCGAGCCACCAATCCGGGCCTAGAGGTGTCAGCCTCCGGGGACGGAGACTGGAGGCGTGGAAGGGCAGCGTCGGGGAGGATGCAACGGGGGCGCAGGGCGAGGAGCGGGCTACGAATGACGAGGGGACGCGGGAGACTCAAGGAAAGAACGGGAGCGTGAAAAGGGCGGGAGGGAGGCGCCGAAGAGGGAAGGGCGCGAGGTAAGGTGAGGAGAGCGGGGAGGGGGAATGGCACGAAGCAACGGACGGGGAGAATGGATGGCGGGAACCAGCTGGGAGGAAGGGGGTGAGGAGGGTGGGATGCAAATGAGGGGAGGGAGCTGGAAGGGGCGGGAAGGGAGTTGGAGGAGAAGGCTGGGCTTGGCGACAGGTAGCTGAGTGGACGGGCAGAGGGCGAAGCAGAATGGGGCAGAGGAGTAACAGACCCTCCCGGCGTGAGGACTGCAGAAAGTCCTAAGTTTTGTATTCTGAAGAGAGGTGTCCCAGTACATTCTCCCAGCATGGCCCCGGGAATGGGGCCTGAGGGAACATGGAAATGAGGGAAGCAAGGACATGAGTTGCCTTTCCAAAATGTCTTTTCTCAACCAAATCTAACTTTCTTCATTTCCATCCTTTCTGTATTGCTTTCCTCTTCCAGCTCTACCGCTCTCTTGCCTCCTGTCCCTCAACTACTTCCATCTGTCTTTCATGTAACTCCCGTTGGTGAAGGATGATTTTAAAATATAACACAAAATAGTGGGTGCTTCATCAAAACATGTCCATAACCCAGACCCTTCCCTCACTAATGTTTAGTAACAATATATTATTGGCTCTTTCCCTCCCTGCCCCCAGTCTCTCTATCCCCCTAACCTCTTTGGGCCAGGACTAACTGCTTGGCAAAGTCAGATGAGATAACTTGAATTGTATTCTTCCTCCCAAAATCAACATGTCTAAGTAACATACTTCAATGCTCTTTCTATCTGGTCATCTTATATTAAATGTGCATTTACCACCATATAATTCTCAGAACACAGTGTAAAACATTCATACTCCTGTCTTATAGCAATTACTGTTTTATCATATAATTTTATTTAGTTTCCCATTTTCAATTCTGAACACACATAAAAAAAGAAAATTGTACAGCAAAATACTATTCCTCTGATTTGTCTCACGAGGAACTGAAGTAAAAGGAATATAAAGTCAAAGAACTTAAAAATGGGGTTTTGTAAATGTGAAGATGAAGTCTTCACATTAAAAAGAATAAAACACTAAAAAGAATGACACCAATAATCTTTGGAATCAAGTAATCTTGTTTTCCTCTGCTTATAGACACATCTGTCTCCTTAGAATGGCATCATCATCTTTGCCCCAAAGTACCCCCCAACCTGATTACTGGGGGGGGGGGGATAAGGGGGCACCTTCCCCATATTTTTAGGCAGGAAATACACAAAAAATGAAGTGCAGTTCCTAAAAGGGACTTAACACAGCTTTTTAAAAAACAAAGTAACAAACTGTTGCTAAAAGCAAAAGGAGAATCTTGGAAAATCCCAGCTTTGCCCAGATAT